GATTGGGCCTGAGTGTGAGCGTTTGTGACTGTGATTATGCTCTGAGTGCAGGGACATTGTTTTCCTCCACTTGCAGTGTGTGGCTGCAATGCAGACTGACGCGTGTTCTTCTGATCAGTGCCAGAGCCCAGCAGGGGAGAGGGGTGGAGGGAGGTTAGGGGGGGGGGGGGGGCTTCACCACTCCAGTCAGTACATCCACTGATCTGGGACGCACAGCTCTGTCTGCTTGTTTTCCTTTCATTCTATTGCCTCTGTGTCACTGTGTTTCTCTCTGTCTTTTCTATCTTACTCTGCCTCCCTCACTCCAATTTATCTTTCTTTTCCAACTTTTCTCTTCCCATGTCTACCAATTCTTGATTGTATACTACTACTACTACTACTACTACTACTACTACTACTACTACTACTACTACTACTACTACTACTACTACTACTACTACTACTACTACTACTACTACTACTACTACTACTACTACTACTACTACTCACAACCCAATGCTTATAATAACCCAGACCAATGGCTTCTGCAATCACATGAAAAAAGTCTTAACTGATGCAAAATCCTTAATTATAACTGCCCCTCCACTGTAGGCTATGAGAGATGGAACCAAGCTACCAAGCAGACGTCATATTAGCAGTTTAGGCGTATCATTTGAGCAGGTGGATAGCCTGAAGCAGTGAGAGCCTAAACAAGTACTACAACAGCTATCAACCACCATGAACCTTTCTATCTGATAACATGTCAACCAGAAACAAACATGCCCGTAATACACAGCCATGTCTGACAAAAGAATCCCCAGAGAGCAAAAGCCATTAAAGGACTTGTAATAATGAGGATTATGACCCAAAAAGAATCAATCCCTAGGATATTGTAAATCATATCACAATTGCAATATCAGTCAAAAAGAATGGTAATTATGTATTCTTTCCAATCGTGCAACCCTACTCTGTCTGCACTGTATAGGTAGCTGCCCTCATTGCTCCTCAAACATTGCTCTCTATGACCACATTAAACACGACAGGACTGACATAACTCCAACCTTTTAGGTACTGCAAGGGCCTTGAAATGAGCTATTTCCCTTTATTACACTTCACTATTCTCTACATTCTGCTCTCTCTTACATCTCTGTCATCATTGTGCTCCTGTGCTGCATTAAAGCCTTGTTATGCAGTTGTCTTAATTGTCTCAGTGCACCAGCAACTGTCATTCAATCACATTCTTTCACCCACTGACAGATTACCTTAGATACGTATAGTTTTCTTCCTTTATGAATATAAAGGATTATGCGTAATTAACGTACTCACTCATAATCTCCTAATCCTATTTTACTCCTAGTGTTTTTTATGAATGTGTTAAATTATTTAAAAACATTTGGACACTGAGAAGTTAAGCTGTTTACCAAAGACTTTGACAGTTTCCTCTCCATTCCAAGTAATTTCTTACACATAAATGCCTCCCCTCTTCCAGGCTATAAATAGCAGGGGATTATTTTGTCAACGCTTGCTTTTTGTTGTTGTGTCTCCTCAAATTGTCATGTCTGGCCTTGGCTCTCCATTACACAATCATTGCCAAACCAAAATGGCTCATGACATATCCATAATACAGTAGCTTTTGTCCATGGAATTAGCTTTGCAGCCTCAAAATACTTTGTCTGAAACAGAGCAATTTATAGCAGTGTATCTGTGAACCTTACAGGGTGTTTGTGACTTTTCTGAACTTTTGAGCAATTTCTAACAGCCAGACTAAACGTATGTGTTGGAGACGAAACTGAATCGTCATTTGTTTTGGAGCTGGGGCATATTTGATCCATTTGCCAACACATTTCTGGTGTCCAGCCTCGACGATGCAACTTCACCTGAGCTTAGACACTTTCTCTTCACTTCTCTTCAAAAGCCACATTTCACTTTCTGCACTGAACACATGATAATACCCTCCCTTTTTTGGGCTGTATTTTTACAGTTATGATGCGATTGCGCCTGGCCTGAAGGCGTTTAAAAACACAACACAGGAAAAAGAGAAAATAGAAATATCCCAATTATTTTATGACTACAAGACTTACACCCAGTTTTCCGTCTCACAGATGGAAATAATGCACACAAACAGACACACACAAACAGGGTTGTTTTTGCCCACAGTTCCAACGATCCTGGAAGTGTATGTCTGGAAAAGAGTGTGGTGCTAATCATGAATTCATTAGCACTCATTGTCTATAGGGCTGTTAATGTGTGATCGTGTGGGTGTGGGTGTGTGTGTGTGTGTGTGTGTGTGTGTGTGTGTGTGTGTATGTGTGTGTTAGATATTTGAGTAAATCTTGAAGCTAGCCCAGAGCAGTTAGCGAGACACACAGGTCACAGAACTTGAAGCCATGCTACCTTTTTGCATCTGCCAGATTCTTGAACAGGTCTGTTGTTGACATATTTACAACATTAGATAGTAACGGTTGTTTCTTTAAACTCCCATCAGTCCAAGTATGCATAAATAATCATTTTTAAAATATTGCTGAAATATTTTACGACAACCCTAATTAGAGGTAATTTTTCTGTCACGCCATAATTTGCACTTTTTCCTCAAACCTCATCAACACTAATGGCACGCAACTGCATAAAGATACTGTGTGTGTGTGTGTGTGTGTGTGTGTGTGTGTGTGTGTGTGTGTGTGTGTGTGTGTGTGTGTGTGTGTGTGTGTGTGTGTGTGTGTGTGTGTGTGTTTCTGATGTGTAAATCCTCAGATCCAAAGCAAGCTTCAATTAATGGCGCTTGATGATCTGAAGGCAAACTAAACGAGCTTCCTCCCCAAACCCCCCCCCCCCCCCCCCCCCCCCCTTCTTTCCTCTCCGACTCTTTTCTATTAATAATAACTGCTGAATAAAGTTGTCTGTGAATTTCAGAGGAACACTTTGTTATGGCTGTCCCTCCTGCTAGGTAAATGAGAGGTGGGCGCTCCAGTGCTGTTCCCTTTTTGAAAGATGAATTTTCAGATCCACTTTTTTTTAACAATATGGCTGCCCTTTCTAGGGTAACAGCAGCAGCTTTCACTAGCTCCTTTTTCTAAACCTGTCTCTTTTGCGTGCACTTTCTCTTAGTAGGAGGACCAAATCATAGAAACACTTTTCAGCACAATTGACCTGCTGCACCAATTTGGTGAATGTGGTAATGATTTTTTTTTCTGACTCCAAATGTGTAGATTTGGGGTTTTGGGTTTAGTTTACTTACTGAAACAAATGTTTTGCATGTCAAGGAGTTTCAAGTGAAGGGTCATTTTGATATTAGTGTTTATCCTAAACTCGGTCTCTCCCTTTACGTCATGGTAATGATTGCACTTTGACTTTCACACGCATCGGAGCATAAATGCACACACCTGTCGACGTGTCACCTTTTCTATCTCTGTATCGGTTTTTATCCCTCTCATCGTCCTCTCTGGTCCTCTTATCATGTGTGGAGAGGCTGTCTGCTCTTTCTCTCTCTCTGCCTGCCAGCTGATGGAGGGGAGATTGGTAAGATTGCAGTGAGGTTGCGTTTGACACCACAACTTGTGATTGCTTGGATATGAACTTGAGATGAGATATGTGGCTGGATAATGTCAGGTAGAACCATCATTTATTGGTGACAGCATATTGATTCCCAATACATTTATATATGTCTAATTGGAACGTTATGCCAGAATGAATGAAAAACAAAAAATAATTTTTGAGCCATAAGGTTTTAGCTACACCATTAAATATCGGAATTAGTCGTATTTCTATATACATCTTTTTTTTTTATATCTTTGCCCTTTTCTTTCTTGGAGTTCAATGCAACAATGACCTTCTTCCGTAAAACCGTAATTTTTGCTGATCAAGATTTACACAGAGTTTTTAAATGCACCTCTCATACAACATGTCAATTCATTGTTGCTTATTCAAATTGAAAAGAAAATGTGTTATTAAGTATATTATTTTTACACATTGCTAGAACATGCAGTCAGGACAGGTTTTCCATTCTTGTGTGTGCATGTGTAAAACTCATATCTGGATACTACCCAGGTTAACACCTATCCTCATGGTATGGAGTTTGACTTCGGAGAGGGGCCTAATGAGCAGGCGACACACACAGGGGACCACCGTGTTTACAGGAAATGCTGTAGGGTCCCCTTGATAATCTCTGCTGGTGTGTGTCTTATGCGGTGTGCTGGCTGCTTTGACGGTATAGATAGAACAGTTCTACTCGGCCACAACATGCAAAATGTTCACTAAATTGGCATGGTTTCACATGTGTGTGCCTGTCTGCTGTGGTGGGACGTTTAATGCTGAGACTTTACAAATGAACGAAGGACTATAGGGAAGCTCATTTCTGCAATCGCTTGCATTTCCTCCCTAATTGTTCCTCTTCTGCCCATAAACCACCTACTTTGTGTGCGTGTGCATGTTTCTGTGTGAGTGTGTGTGTGTAGTTATAGATAGAAAGAAAGTCCTTTTCTCTCTGCTAGCAGTGTCAGCAGGTGAGCTACCCTATTGGGAGAGAAGAGAGAAATCGCCAAAGCATGCAAATTGCTACTCCAAGGGGAGAATCAATTAGGTGCATAGCGGCTGTAACAGAAAGGCATAGAGGGGCGTAGAGGAGCAGGGGTCCATGCAGAGAGATGGTGCAGAGCCATGCTGATCACCTCCTCTGAGACCATGCATTACTCCTCCTCTTCTGTCCTCTTCTTCAATCCATGGACTCATCCTATTGGCTAAAGCTCTCCCTCTACACTGCCTTTTAAACCTCTGCTGTGCCTCAGCCTGTGACATTTTTCTGTCTAGCCCATTTCTTTTTCTTGTCTCAAGTGTGTGGCCTCTTCACCCGTTTTCCTCATTATTCTTTGTTAAATTGCTGCGCTATAATCTGTGCGAGATAATGTATATCATTTGCATAATGTTTATCTATCAATACCATGTAAATGTTACCTTGAATGTGTAGCAATGTTTTGCTCAGGTTTGTGTTCCTGTTGTTCACTGGGTTTTCTTTCTTCCCTCTTTAGGTACATGATGTCCTCAATCTCAAGAGAGGCTTGATCTTGATTGGCCTACAGCACTGGACTGTGCCTCCTTCCCTCTCCTCACCACTCCCAGCCTGAGAACAGCCATGATGTCCCTAACGAGGACACGGACCTGCTTTTTTGTATACTGCTTCCTGTCCAGTCTGGAGCTTCCTGTGACATCACAAACCGTGGTGCATGCCGCACAAGCCCACAGTGCCGGCTCCCAGGTGATCACAGCATCCCTTCAGGAGGACGAGTATGCATCATTTCATGCTGAGAACCCTGCATGGAAATTCAACCATATTGCAGTGGACTATCGCAATGGCAATGTCTATTTGGGAGCTGTTAATCGCATATACAAACTGTCCCCCAGCCTGGAGGTCCAGGTGTCCCATGAGACTGGTCCAGATGAAGACAACCGCAAGTGCTACCCACCCCGTATTGTACAGCCCTGCAGTGAGCCGTTATCGCTCACCAACAATGTCAACAAGATGCTCCTGATGGACTATCGGGAGAACCGGCTGCTAGCGTGTGGCAGCCTCTACCAGGGCATCTGCAAACTCCTCCGCCTAGATGACCTCTTCAAACTGGGTGAGCCCTTCCACAAGAAGGAGCACTACCTCTCCGGTGTCAACGAGAGTGGCTCTGTGTTTGGCGTCATTGTGTCATATGGGAATGCCTCTCCAGACATGCTCTTTATAGCCACAGCAGTGGATGGCAAACCAGAGTACTTCCCTACCATCTCTAGCCGCAAGTTGGCCAGAAACTCTGAGGAAGATGGCATGTTTGCCTATGTCTTCCACGATGAGTTTGTGGCCTCTATGATTAAAATCCCTTCAGACACCTTCACTGTCATCCCAGACTTTGACATATACTACATTTATGGCTTTGCCAGTGGGAACTTTGTGTACTTCCTGACTTTGCAGCCAGAAATGGGGAACGGGCCAACTACTGGATCCTCTACTGGTCGGGAACAGGTGTACACCTCCAAGATAGTCCGCCTCTGCAAGGCTGACACCGCCTTTAACTCCTACGTGGAGGTCCCTATTGGATGCATTAGTGGCAACGTTGAGTACCGATTACTCGAGGCGGCCTACCTCTCCAAAGCTGGTGCTATCCTGGCACGCTCACTAGATGTGGAACCGGATGATGATGTTTTGTTCACCATTTTCTCAAAAGGCCAAAAGAGGCGTCCACGTCAGGCGTCGCAGGACTCTGCACTGTGTGTCTTCTCTCTGCGAAAGATCAATGAGAAAATCAAGGAGAGGCTGCAGTCGTGCTACAAGGGTGAAGGCACACTGGACCTGGCCTGGCTCAAAGTCAAAGATATTCCCTGCAGCAGTGCGGTGAGTACTACTACAATGCCCACAAACACATTTTGTGACTTTCAGACACATTTACACATCACCAAATGTAATGTTACTTGGGAGATTTACACTTGATTGGTAGTTCTTTTTTATTCCACACATACTTTACAGACACATACATTACTCACTGTTCCTAATCTGTCAGATTAGCAGGCGTCCAGCAGTTCTGTTTAAAGTAGCGTTTATCAAACCCATTTAAGAGAAGAGCACTTAAACAGACTGCATATAGAAAAAACAAACACTGGTGATTTCTTATTGTTAGAATAGTTTCTGATCACAGGTGAGTCTTTCTGGAGGATAATCAGTTGTGAAGGCTCTTTATTGTAAATATAATGAGCCATGGTGCACTGCAGGAGGCCTTCCTGAACACTGTTCGTAGGTGGGTTCATGCTCCATCCCATTATGATGTGACATTAACTATCCACTGCCTCTTCTAATCTGCTCCCTCTTTAAACAGTGCAGCTGAATGCTCAGCCAAATTACCATAATTCCGTTCTCCATAACAGCATTACAAATTCAGTGATTCAGTTCATTTCATTTTCTCACTTTGTGCACATAAAAAACAAGGTTCAATCGGGTGTTACATGTTTAGACCAGCTTCACAAGCAGCCAAGCAGTTTCATGCATGTTTTTTTCTTATACTCATTACATCATTAATACAAGCTGTCAACCTCAAGAAAGACAAGATATCCATGATCAGAGCCCATTTGTTAGTTAACATGCTCCTATGTGAACCACGACCTCCCATTTTGAATTCAGAGAGGTGTAGATGATCTATGTGTCTATGTTAACGTAGCAGAGCACTCTGATGTGGTCTGTTTTTCAGCACATATATCAATTCAATGTGTATTGATTCAAATGGTTGGCTGAGCCATTTTGCTTTAGATTTTTAAAGTATATTTTCTTTAACTAAGTAGCCTATAGATAATCCATTCAATGTAGCCTACATTATTTATGTATTTGATATAATGAAGACCGTTGCATTCATTGCAATGCAATTTTTTCCTCAAGAAATACACTAATTGGAAAGACAAATGGTATATTCCTTACTCCTGCCAGTCATTCTTTTAATCCACAAATGAGAATTTATAAATCTACAAAATACTACAAGCTAAAATGTGTTCGCTTGGTCATGGCAATACTGTATTTTAGAAAAAAATAAATGTGATCCTCTCACTGCGCCTCTGTCCATATTATTCTGACCTTAGCCATGCACTATCTGGAGACATTATGAAGTTGACCCTCTCTTGTGTTTGGTTCTGAAATCACAGTGTTTATCTATTACTCGTCGTCTCTGGCACGGCACACGTGCCGAGGCGCTTTTGTCTGCTGCTTGAGGGCCTGATAAATCATGCTTGGGGTGTAGCTGTCAGCAGGGAGAGGAAGTGTGAGGGAGCACACAGGGGTTAGCGCTGAGGAATGATGCCATTTCAGCATGCGCCACACTATCGCCACCGCCACCGCATAAATTATACCCTGCTGAACAAGTGACGGTGGACTCTGCAGGAGATAGATGAGTTGTGACACACACACATACACACACGCCTGCCTCCACTTGTAAGTATGGCTACTGCAGAGATGGAGGTGGAGCTTTTAAAGCCAGAGAGAGGCTCTTCAAAAAAGTAGCGATATTAATAGTGATAAATACGTTATATATGAAAGATTTATACGATAATTTATTTAAATGTAGATTATTATGTGTTGCTTTAGAGTGGATGCTACAGTTATAAATGAGGTGTCATGGACAAATGCACACATAGATCAGGGGCCTATTGCTTGAGCATTAGTAAATGAGTCGATGTAAATAAAGGCAATATATTTCCTATGATTGTTTTCACAGGGAGAATATGTTTAGATTTACAACTCTCATATCCTTTATGTGTCTGTGATGGATGGTTAGACTTTATAATATCTCCTGCGTTTATATGTTTTATTACATTGTCACATTCTTTTGAACATACTATCTCAGGTATGTCTTGAGGGAATTTCTTCAAACTTGTCCGGGATTAATTCAAATTTAGTGGCAAAAATATCAAGGTCAGCGTGACATCACAAAACTCATATTTTGTCCATTGCTCAATAATCTTTATGCTGCTTATGACAATTTCACACAAATATTGAAGTAATTACATTTTCATAAAGTTGTAAACTACAAGTGGACTGCTTAGCAGACACATAAAAGCACTAGGCAGTAATTCTAGTTTTATGAATCGTTGGTTGTCATTCACTAATTCATGTCATTGATGCATCACTGGAAGCGCAGTGTCTCTGATATCATCTGGAATGTAGTTTGCGCTCAGTGTTCACTACCTCTCCATTCTGGGTCTCCCTTCCCTGGTGCAGAGAGCAGAAATGTATACACAGCAGGACAAATGCGCACACCATTTCTGTATACAACCAAACAAGGTTTCTCAGGATATTTTGTGAAATCAAGGGTGCTTGTTTGGTTCTGGCACTCATAAAAAACACTAACTAAGGAATCCCACAACCACATACATATCAAATGTGTTTTTTACCCACTCGCATCATGTTAAAGAATCATTAAAAAGGGATTAAGGATAGGATTTAGACTAAAGATTGTATTTAAAGATTGCTATGTTAAACTATCATTGTTAATGTACACTGTATGTGAAAAATGAAGACATGTTTCTTTCAGATCGTACTCAGAATATTAGAACAATAAGATATATTATGTATAGTACAAAGTACAGATTTAGAAGATTAAGAATTTGTAACTTTTATATTAGCAGCTCACTACCATCAACTGAATGGATTTAAACATATATATTTTGAGGTATCAACGTTGTTGGGACGAGATACAATGAAATCATCAGAGTAGGTGGATGTGTTCAAGGACACTATAAACACTCACTCCCCTTAGACCTTTGCTGCTACACCATCTTTAACAGGCTTTCAGTCGGAGTGGGATGGATGGAAAGAGGGAGAAGTTGAGAAGAAAAAGTATGTAGAGAGTGGTGTTATGGGTGAGAGCAATCGAGAGGATGGATGATGAGAGGGTGAGTGAGGGTGGATGCTTCCTCTCTCCCCCAAATGGCCCCGCTTGGCTGAGCCCCATAATGCGTGCTCAACAGTATAAGTCTGCAAAGGGCCTGCATCCATAGATCATTGTGAAGTGGCATTTGACCTATAAAAAAAAAATGCTGCCTGCTCCCACCATGTTCACTGTGTCAGCAGAAAAAAAACAGAACAACAAAACAGCGGGATCGCAATAAATTCCCTCTCTGCTCTCTTTCCTCTCATCCTTGATTCATTGCTCGGTGCCTCTGTCGCTCTTCTTTCACTTTTTGCCTGTCCTCCTCATGTTCTTATAAAAAAAGTTAGCACCATCTTTTCATTGTCTGTTATGCTTTCCATCCGTGTGTGTGTCCTTCTCTCCCCTTTATTATTCCTTACAAAGCTTTCCATGAGCACAGTGGGAAGTGTTGTCCCTCACCCTCCCTCTAAACATGGAGGAGAAAATTACAAGGTCCCTGACAGGCCACGGCCATCCCCTCATCCCTTCTGCTAATGATCATTAATTACATGTCATTAACTAACATGCCACGGGCTATTCTTCCACATTTGTCACGTGCTATCGACTTCACATTCTGAATTCACTCCAATTAATTAGATTATTCTACTCGGTCGCCGCTGTTTCTTTGAGTATTTTCCTTGATCTCTCTCACATTCCCCCCCCAACACACACACTCATCCCTACCACGTTTCATCGTTCACTTGAAAGAAACTCTTCAATAGGACATTCTCTGCCTTCCCACCCATGCTCATATTTCATGTTATTGCCTCTTTTCTGACTTCTTTTGGTTCAGTTTGACCAACCTTTTGAATGGTGTTGTCTCCTGAGCCGACTATCTCCATCCCTCCTCCTGATTGCGAGGCATAATCAGCGGCTGATGAGCCAGTCTAGGCCACATCCTCAGGAAGGGATGGCTAGTGGATTCATTAAGAACATCCAGACAGCACCTCCTCTCCTCCACTTCACCCCACTCCATCCACATATCCGCTATCCTGCCTGGTGCCTGGCTCGCTAATTAAATCTCCATACATGATGCCACTTGCTAAAGGTCAGAATCCATCACAATATCATTATTCTGTGATTAAACAAATGTCTCCTGCTTCCTACACTACTCTCTGCCGGCTGCCCTCGGCTTGAAAATAATAAATGAATCGAGGTACATTCATTTGTTTGCCGTGTTATTTTTGCCTTTTGTCAAGCTCCTAGAAACAGTTTTGTTTGCCCAGTCTTTCTAATTCTATTACTCCCCAGTAAGCAGAACAGTACATTCTGTAAGAGGAGAACAACCAATAAAACCACGTTAATGAAATTCATCATAGTTGCACATTTGGTCCAAAAGCTCATGAATAGCTGAATTGTTGACAACTTTTAAATGTGATGCAGTCCATTATAACTCCTAACTAACTAATGACCACCAGGTTCAATCATTGCCTCTCTGACAGAGCGTCAACAAGAGAACAAAACAAAGCTGTATTGGTTGCAATGGATTTAAGGAAGAATCCCTAATAAACTGTCAATTCCAAAGACTTACAGATTAGCATGTCATCACTTGAAAGAAAACGTGTGTGAAAAAAAGACAGTTGTGCCTAGTAAGCATTCCAAAAGAAAAAGTGTCTGCCAGTGCAAGCAAGAAGACAAGTTAGGAAGTTACCTGACACATCTTTCTCTTAAAGATATTGCATTTTTTGTTTGTAAAGTCCCTTTTCTTTCAATCTCTGCATCTCTTAAACCACCTTCTTGCTTTCGAAATGTTCTATCGATGCTATTCCTGTAGCCCTGCTTTAGTGATATTTCAATTTTTATTGAAAATCCTCCTGCTGTTTTGTGAGTTCCCGATTTGATTATTATTCCTAATCATTTATTATCTGCCGTAGCTGGTGCACGCCTCTGTGAACATTAATAAAAAACAACATTACAGATTGAAAACTGAACCTGCCTCCTGACA